GTCAACCAGCTTGGTCAAGCTGCTGGACAAGTAGCGAAACGTCTCTAACCAAAAAGAAAAGAAGTCCAGTTGCCATGACTCAACCGCCAGACGTGAATGGAAGATGCTTTAATTTAAACATTTAAGGAGCTTTCAGATGCTTCTGAACATAGTCTGTAGTTAACCGGCTGAGTTGCTAAAGTTCACTTCCTCTTATCTTTGTGCTCAGTGCTGAGATGTCTGCGTGACACCTGCTGATCACTAGTAGGATTAAAATATGTTGTGTTGGGATTTAAACTTCAAATAACATTCTTAAAGCCCAAATGACACTCTTAAAGCCCTAAACGTAGGTCTAGTGATGCAAAGCCCTCTTGGGTGCTCAGATCTGTAGGAGGACTTCTTCTGAAGACACCTCTCTTTATGAAAGTATAAGGTACTTTCTTAGCAGGCCTATAGATATCTTCTGTGGCTATGTTCAGAGCAACTGCTCAACCCAGGTTAACAAAAGAAGCTAGGCTACGGCTAAACTTGAGAGTTTGCTCCATCAAACAAGAGTTGGGGTTTCCATGACGTGCGGAACCTCATTTGTTCAGCCGTTATTTAAACCAGCCTTGAGTTACAGAGATGAGCGTCGTTTGAAGCTGGAGCTCGTGAATCTGGGGGACTGTATTTAACCCCACGCTCTTATCTGCTACCAAGATGCCGTCTTCACATTTCACGATGCTAGTTTCCAATTTATTTAACTCCATCAATGGGAGTGGGAGGTCAGGGCGGGAAAAATCTCTCTTTCTAGTTCAAGGTTTTCTCCTTTTGCATGCAGCATGGTGGGCTTTCTTGGGGAGGGAGCGGGGAGCAATCCCAACATCTTACCTTCTTGCCCGTACTAAACACTCATTTTCTACCATGCCTTCCTTTTGCAAAGCATTTCTTTTAACGACACCAGGCAAAACGCCCTCCCCACCCCCTTGTTTTCTTCCCCTCATCTTTCCTCCAAAAGCTTTGGTTGGCTTTACTGACTTAAAACCCCATGACGTTAACGAGGGGCTTTTCTTTACTGTCTGTGCCTTTTCTTTTTATGAATTCTTTTGAAGTTGGCTTTCAAAAGTCTCTCTCTCTCTGTCTCTCTCTCTCGTTTTGGTGCTCGTGAATTGGTTTGGTTTTGTGCTTACGTGCTTTTTCCAGGTTTGCTTTGTTAATCTTTTGATTTCATTGTGTTGTTGTTGTTTTCTTTTCTTTTTTAATTCTATCACTTCTCCATCTCTTATACGTAGCTTATGTCCCTTTTAACACCCCCCTATCAGCCTCCTCCTCTGCCCCCTTCCTCTGCCTCGCCTTCTGCGGTGCCCAATGGCCCCCAGTCACCCAAGCAGCCAAAGGAACCCCTCTCCCATCGCTTCAACGAGTTCATGACCTCCAAACCCAAAATCCACTGCTTCCGGAGCCTAAAGCGTGGGGTAAGTTCTCTGGGTGTGTCTGTCTGCTTCCCCCTCTCCTTCCGTTGCACGTTCTGTGGTGACGTTCGGGGAAACCGAGTTTTACCTCCACCTTTGCCTTGTTTTCCTTTCTTAGAGGGCCATAGTGTGTGTCAAAACCATAGCTCAGGAATTAGATTCTGAGAACGTCAAAACGGAGTCAAAAACCCCCACGGTGAAACCACAAAAAATCCCCTCTCCTCCCCGCCCCAACCACGGGTCCCCAAATCTTCCAGGACCCATCCTTCCCATTTTTTGTGGATGGCCCCGTGGGGTTTGCAGTGCCAAGCATCTAGGATCAAAGGTTGGGACAGTCTGGCTTTGCCACAAGGATAATTTGTTTCTTCTCTGGGGACTGGAGAATTAAAATCCGAACCGTCTATCATGCAGACGACTCGCGGGCAACCCCATTTGCTTCCCACCACAACGATAAAATAAAATCTGAAGGGAGATTTTTAATTAACGGTGGATGAATAGGATTCTTTGCTGTCGAGACAATCTAAGCCCAGCGGTGTGTCTAGAGAAGGGTTTCTCAATCTTGGCCACTTTAAGCTGTCTGGACTTCAACTCCCAGAATTCCCCAGCCAGCATGCTGGCTGGGGAATTCTGGGAGTTGAAGTCCAGGCACCGTAAAGATTAGATTATTAAGACACCCCATCTAATCACTGCAGCAGGACGGTGAGATTTGAACTCAGCTGCAGAAGAGTTGCAGAAACTCGGCAGTGGTTTTGGAGAGACGCAGTGGTGTAGCGCCAAGCCCGCTTGGTGCAAATACATCTGGAGAGATCGCTCCGATGCCGAACTGCGCTTATACTCTGAAACTGAGTTGATTTATAAAACTGACAAAGCTGCCTATCTCGTACAATAATCCCAGCCAGCTCCCAACCAAATTAGATACGATGGCTCTTGACATGGCTGTAACTTCCCAGTTGGGAACGCCAAGGTTTTCCTAGTGAGTCTGCGGGTCTCTTGCGCTCATCCGTTGCTTCCATGTTTTCTTTGGACGCACAGCATCAAAATCTGGTAGCCAAGCGTAAGGTTCCTCCTGCTCACGTTTTCCCGCAGTTAGCCTTGCAAGACGGCCTCTCGTTCTGCTCCCTGCGATTTGCACCCCTGTAACTTCCCCCAATAACTTGTCTAATCCTTCTTTTAAGTTAATGGGCAGCCCCAGAAGGTAAAGGACTACAACAGGTCTGGTCTGTTTCCAGCTCAGATCTCATGCTGAAGCTTGGATAAGTTTGGGCTGTGATTTTTTCTTTTTTAAGCAAGCCCTAAGGGATCACCACCTCACCCTAAGCAGTAACTGGTGGTTTGGAAATCCTGTGCCAAAATCCAGATCAAAACCTTAGAACGATTTGATTAGGCTCCAAACAATCCCCAGCGACCGTCGCCGTGAACTCAGTTTCACTTCTGCATTTTTAAATTCCCTTTTAGTATTTGCATCCCCTTTATTTCCTCCCTCCCTCCCTTCCACGTTTGCAAAGAGAAGGGCCGCTGTTTAAGATCCTGTACCGTTTGTTAAAAAGCAACACACTTCCTGTATACAGGAAATCCGAGGGTTGCACTTCCACTTTAATTCATCTCTCTTTGCACCTGGTTTGCTTCTTTTCTGGGGCCGGAACAGCGAGAATATTAAAACCAAGCCAAACGTTCATGAAACAGAGTGATTTCAGAGCTCAGAATGTAATGCAGAGACTCCACAGAATAATTGACTGGAAGAAAACACGCCTTGGCCAGTAGATCATGCAGAGATACGGCAGTTAACCTCTTAGAAGAGCAGTTCATGGATTGTGGGATAACTCTGCAAGCGGGCCCCGTAGCATTGGGGCAGAGATGAATCAGAGTCTGCCTGTAAGGGTGCCAGCTCAGAACAGACTCATGCAGAGATGCAGAGAGAGGAGCTCACTCTCTGAATATATCAGTGTTTCTCAACTTTGGGAACTTTAAGATGGGCGGACTTCAACTCCCAGAATTCCCCAGCCAGCATGGCTGGCTGGGGAAT